GGAGCCACGAGGATAAGGAGCAGGAGGAGGCAGAAGGAGGTGAGGGTGGTGAACGAAACGGAGGAGGCGAGAAAGAAAGCGGGAGGGGCATGCAGCAGGAAGAACCGGCAGGAAGGGAGAAAGGAGGAGACGGAGCCGGCAGGAAGGGAGGCGACGACGACGACGGGGATGACTGTGATGTTGAAGAAGATGACGGTGGTGATGATAATGATGACGACAACGGCGGTGACGACGATGACGATGACGATGACGATGCTGATGCGGATGAGGATGATGGTCGGCATCATCATGACCATGACGATGATGATCATGCTGATGATGCTGTTGATGATGATCAACATGATGATGATGATGATGATGATGATGATGATGATGATGATGATGATGATGATCACCATCATGATGAAACTCATCATGATGATGATCATTTCCGTGCAAATGGTGATGATGGCCATGCTGGTGGTGGTAATCACGAAGATCATCACAATCATGATGATCATGATGATCAACCTGATAATGACTCTCTTCCCCTCCCTCTTCTCCCCCTCACCTCCGTGATTTCATGTTTACGGGGAAGAAAGGTGGAGGAGGACGTTCTGCTGACGGAGGAGGAGGAGGATCAGGAGGATCAAGAGGATGAGGACGAGCATGACTTTGGTGCTACTTCAGACCGTGCTGCTGATGATGATGTTGTTGCTGGTGATGCTGGTGTTGCCTATGCTGATGCTGAAGCTGAATCTGATGATTAGGAGGACGATGCCGATGACGACGATGACGATGGCGATGATGATGACGATGATGACGATAACGGCGGTGACGACGATGACGATGGCGATGGCGATGGCGATGATGGTGATCATCATCATGATCATGACAATGATGATTAAGATGATGATGATGATGCTGATGATGATGACGATGACGATGACCATGATGATCATGTCTGTGCGGATGGTGGTGGTGACCATGCTGATCATGAAAAACATGAAGATCATTACGCTCATGATGAGCATGCTTGATGATAATGGTACTCCTCCTCTCCCCCTTCTCCCTTTCACCTCCCTGACGTCCTGCGAAAGGAGGAGGAGGATGGAGGAGGATTGTCTGCTGACGGAGGAGGAGGAGGAGGAGGATCAAGAGGAAGAGGACGAGCATAATTTTGGTGCTTCTGCAGATCGTGCTGCTGATGCTGATGGTGTTGCTGATGATGCTGGTGGTGCCGATGCTGATTATGAAGACGATCCCGATGACGACGGCGACGATGACGATGATGATGCCGATGGTGATGATGACGATCATGATGATGGCGCCTCAAGATGGTCCTTTTGCGCGGCCACCTTCTCCTGTGAAGGGGCCCTGGGACACACAAATTAATACACACAAATAACGAAACTCCCCATATTTTCCAATATTTTCTGGGTTTTTGTCTTCCCCCCATCTCCCATATTTTCCCATATTTCATTGGAAATCGGCGATGAATTGTGTCTGTGTGCTTTTTCCCCTCCTGACTTTGCGCGGCCACCTTCTTCTGGGCAGGATCGCCCTCAAATGGCTGCCAAGCTTTCCAAGAAGCTAGGAGAGGGCACCGGGCCAGCGCGGGCCGCAAAGGCCCACTGGGCCGTGCGCCGGGCCGCAGAAGAACCCAACGGGCCGGGCAACCAACAAACACCAAAGGGCCGCAAACAAACACTCGCGCTGGGGGGGGGCAGCGAAGTGACGTCATCAGGGGGGTACATGCGAACACTACCCCTACTGAGGGGGAGGGTGGGGTTCGCATGTGGCCCCCTAGTCATACGCAGATTCAGATTCGCCCTCGCCCCCCCCCGGGGGCTGCGAATGTCGAACCTGCCGCAACTTTCGAGGGCTGCTTGGGGGGAGGGGAGGGCAGCAGACTGACGTCGAACGCAGATTCAAATTACACATCGGCTTTTCTCGGGGACTGCTTACGCGAAAATGTCGCCGCGTTCGAAGGCTGCTGGGGCCAGCGAGATGAAGTCATAGTAGATTCGAATTCGAATTTGCATTCATTCCCAGGTGAGCACTGCGAAGCTGCCTCCAATTTTGAAGGCTGCTTGGGGTCCAACAGAGTGGCGTCATGCGCGGACCCAGACTCGACCTCGCCATCCCTGGGGGTCTGCGATATGCGAAGTTGTCACCACTTTTGAACGTTTCAGGGAAGGTCCATCGGAGACATGTTTTGGGTTGGGTGAAATTCGGCCTCGGTGTTCACGTGGGGTTTCGAATTGCGAAACGCTCGGCACGCTTAAGGGTTGCGGGAGGTCCAGCGGAAGGACGTCTACGCAGATTCAGGCTAGACCTCGCCATCCCAGGGAAACTGCGAACTGCGGAATTGTCACCACTTTCGTGGGTAATTGCGGGGGGGGGGGGGGCAGCGGGGCGACGTCCTACGCGGATTGGGCTAAACCTCACCATTCCTGGGGGCGGGGATGCAAAAAGTGGCCACGTTCGACCCCTGCTGCGGCTTCCCTCGTGGTGGTGTCCTACGCGAACCCAGATTGGAACTCGCCACTCGGGGGGGCTGCGACCCGTGAAACAATTCCGCGCATCCGTAAGGTTTTGTACTGTGGCAAAAAGACGGGGCAGCTGAGCGACGTCCTACGGCAGGTTCGTGTCGTGCCGACCCCAGCGTTGGTTTTTGACACCGCAGGGATCGTTCAACCTTGAACGATCGGCCGCTGCCGCAACGTCCGATCGTTCAACATCGATCGATTCTGGGCCGCCGCCGGCGTTCAACCTTGAACGTCCGCGCTGGGGTCGCCGCTGGTCGACACGACGCAAACCTACCGTACGCACACCCAGACTAGACCTCACCATCCTTGGGGGGGTGCGAACAGCGAGACTGTCGCCACTTCCGGGGGCTACGACGTGGCCCAACAAAGCGACATCATTCGCGGACTATGATGGGAACTCGTTGTCCCTGGGGGGCTGCGAACTGCGAAACGCGCGCCATTTTCGAGGGCTGCCCCACGATCTAGCATAGCGACGTCCTGCGTGGGTTCAGACCAGTTTTGATTATCTCTCCCGCGAACCACCCGGAGACCTGCCGATGCGTCTGCGGGCGTTTCGCTCCCGCGCTGCAGGGTGCATGAAGGAAGCGAAGAACCTGGCGGGCGAACTCGGCCTCGATCGTTTCCTACGCCAGCTATGGACAACTGTTCCTCAAAGCGCCAACACAACATAACGCAAGCCGCGCTATCCAACGTGTCACTAAAAAATGATCGCCACCCGCCTTCCTCATCATTCCTGGTTCGTCGTCATTTTCCTCCTTCCAGCGTCTCACTGCTGATGTCGCGTCCACTGTTCGGCCCGTCTCCATCCCTTTTTCTACCTCCCGTTCCCACCCCCATTTCCTCGTTCTAGCCTGGTCATCGTCGTTCTGTTGTTGTCCTGCGAATCGTGAAACGCGCGCTTTCCATATAGCTTGCGCAACCAATGACAAATCTCGTTCTGTCATCAGGCATACCATTGTGGACCACCTCCTCTTCCCATTGAATGCAAAATGGCTGGGTACGTTGCACGGTCAATATGGCCTCTATCCGTGAGCTTCCTGGGCTCCTGCGCTTGAATTTCGAACCTTATCTGATTTTGCCCCATACGCGGTATGGCATACGCCACAGTGGGCGATGAATGAGGAACTGAATGCACAATAACGCCCGAATATTCCGCTCCACTTGAAGAACCGCAGAAAGGAGGGATTGTAAATGAAACTAGTATAAGCAGAACCACACTATGCAGTATTAGTGCTGACGCCTCTGCATCTTATCATGGTGCGAGGCCTATCGAAAGGGCAGATAGTACCAGTCGCCGAATGCCTTCGAAGAAGCTCCACACCACATGAGTGCCCAACAACATATCAAACTATGGGCCTCGAAGTCCGTCACACGCAATCAGCTACATCATCAGATGATCACTGACTTGAGCACGCGTGAATTTACATCTTATACACCACAACACATACGAACCGAGTAGCGTGCGCGTACACGCAGACTGTGTGCAATCATTCCTCCGTGGCTCATAACATGAACTTGCTATAACCAGGGTGTACGACATGCACATTATGACTCATACCATGGTTGGAAGTGGCCTTCCGCACAACAAGTGGACGCGCCATGCAATTGTTGACCCTTGCCCCCCAAGCCCGCCATCCTTCGCACCCATGACTGGCCACACATATACAGAGCCTGCCAAGTTGATTGACATGAAGCTTCTCGTGCGACTCAATGCCAGGCGTACTCACACTTCACCAGAGGCACAAAAGCAACTGCGTAAAACATAAACTGTTGAAGGTCCGCGCGGATCTCTTGGATCTGCGCCAGACCCACCCTCCCTGGCGCGCGGAGCGCGCCAGGGGCGGCGGCGGGGACCCCAGCGCGGACCCAAGAAATGTGCACGGAGCGCCGAAAGTTTGTTTTTTTTATGGCGTTTCTTCGTCGACTTACAGTCGGACTTGATTGGACAGGACGCGCGAGAGGACACCAGACCCTTCCAAGGGCCACATTGCCATAATAATGTAGGAGGCATGGGTGGCGAGATACAGGGCACAAGGGCACCCTTGATTTGGCAGGGTCGACCTACCTATCAGTGCCGACTGTACCAGGCGAGGGTACACACATTCGCGTTCTCGGGGCCTGGACTCCTCGGCCGCGCCCCCCCCCCGCCCCCGGAATGCTCCGAGAGAGTGCTCCCCTGGGATTCGAGCGGCGGTGTCGAGGCCGCGAAGGCTTCCACAGGAAGCCCAACCCTGAGACCCCAGGACGTCCATTGATTTTTGCTGTGGGAGCGTCGCGCTTTCCACCGCAAAGCCATCGAAACCCAAGACACCCAGGGCACCCTGGAGGCAAGCAGGGTGTTTCTTGGCATGGGCCTCCACTGTAGCAACCGACTGCGAACAAAAGCCGAGCTCACGAAAATAGGTGCCAAAACGCAATGGTTCGCTTGTGTGCCACTGCGTGCAGCCGTGAAGCTGCGGCTGGGCAAGCCTCGCACCACTCCGAGAACTTGGAGAAGACCGAGTGCGACCTGGGGATCGCTGGGCACTCCCAGCCGAGACCGTTCCCCATCAGAACGATCATCACCACCGCCCGCGGCCATGGGATGTGGGAGCCACGGCACAACCATGTAGCCAACTCTCGTCTAGGGTCTCTCCCTCCCTAAGATGACCAGACGTTGCTTGAACGCGTCCTAAGAGTCCATGCTAGGACATAAACTACCGACCCCTCAAGGTTTCCTCGGCGTGTTGAATGGTGTTGCCCCTCACGAAATCCCTCCCCTGGAAGCCGCCGGGCCTGGCCGGTTCTGAGGGGGGGGGTCTGGTCAGAAGTGCTGGGGGGCCAGGGGGCCTATGTTCCATGACTTATTCTAGGCCCCCCAGAGCAGCCCCACATGGGACCAGGTGGTCTTCCCAGGTCGGGCAGGAGGTTCCAAACCTCGCCCATGCATGCGCCCACGAGTCTGTAAGGCGCGCTGAGAACGGCTCGAGGCGGACACAACGCTGCCCGAGAACATCCCCAAGGACGCCAACGGTATTGAATTTACGTTTTGGTGTTTTTGTCTATGCCCGCCTTGCCTGCCGTGAGAGCGTTCGAAGCGGCCGACGGCGCCTCCAGTCCCAAGACAGGCGAAATGGGCCCGAAAGGAGCCAAAGACGGCCGAGGGAGGTCCAGAACGCCCCGGGAGGAGCCCGGGAGACGCTCCAGGCGGCCAAAGGAGGTCCCCAAGACGGCCCACGACTGGCTCACGATAGCCCAACAGGGGCCCAAGATCCCCAGCACAAGACGGCCCACGAGGCCCCGCGAGGCCCTCCAGGCGCCCGACGAAGCGACCCAAGAGGCCCCCAGGGCGGCCGCAGCACGATCCCAAGAGAGCCCAAGATGGCCTCGGTAAGACGGATCGCCAGGCTTGCAGCATTTTGACAAACAAAATCCGCCGATCCGGCGTGTGAGTTTCTGAGAGCGTGGACTTGAGCTCGCTCAAACTTCGCTCTGCAAGGGGGGGTGGGGGCGCGTACGTTCTGTCCGACGTCATTTCCGACGTGTTGCGGTACCCGGGGATATTTCCGACGTCATTTCCGACGCTTGTCGCTCTCACCCCCCCCGGATCGGCGGCCCTGGCCGGAGGCCAGCCCGATATCTGATTCGAGGTCGCTGGGGCGGTTCGCCTGGCTGCTCGCAGACACCCTGGCGTCTGCTCGGCCCTCGGACGCGCGTGCCACGTCGCCAGGCCTGCCTCGTCGAAGCGGACGTGGTGGCTCTCTGTGTCATCTGGTGTTACGATTTGTGCCGACGCACGTCGGCTCCGCCCTGTCCGCGTTCAAGGGACATGTCCTGTACACCAGCGTCTTGGGCGGCTCTGCCTTTTCCATGCATTCCGCGCGCAAAAACAACCAAGAGGCCACAAAAGGATCGGCGGGTGTGGAGTGAGCCCATGAAGAGCCCTGAGGGGGCTCCAGGAGGCTCCAGTAAGCTTGAGAAGAGCAGCACCAAAAGGGCCAGACCATGGGCTGAGAAGGCTCAACATGAAACCAGGCGTCCAACGGGGGCGTCCAAGAACTCACCCACTCACTTAAGAGCCGCGCCTGGACGGCGCATCGGCAAGAGAAAACTATATGCACATGTCTGGAAGCGGCTACTGTGCCTCGGAACTCGACCACTGGCAATCTTTGTGCAAATGGCGCGCGAGGGTGATCGGCAGCGCTCGCGTGCAGAAAGCGGGTTCGCATTTCATGGCCGAGGCACGTGCGCGGACCAAGGGGGTCAGGGGACATGTTCAAATAATAATAATAAGTATAATGATAAGAAGAATAAGCAAACTAATACAAATAATAATAATACTAATACTCATAATAATAATGATAGTAAGAAGAAGGATAAGAAGAAGGAGAGGGGGCCATGATATCCGGGGAGATATCATGGCCCCGCCGTGGCATCCAGCCATCACGAGGCGCACTCTTTCTGGACCTTCTTCCAGCGAAGGAGGATCTCCCTGTGCCTGTCCCTTCCTCTTTCTCTGTCCCCGTTTCACTTCCTCCTTATCCCCCCTTTCCCGATTCCCCTCTCCCATCACATCCGACCTTGCAACAACAGCTGCAACATAGAAAAAGCAGGACCTCCTTCCAGCGGAGGAGGATCTCCCTGTCCCTGTCCCTTCCCCTTTCGAGGGCGCGCAAACATGGATTAACGATCCACGGATTTGGCGCGCGGTCGTCAAATCCATGGGTCGGGGGAGGTGCCCTCACCTAAATGCGGTCGGTGCCGCTTCGTTCGGACGCGGAAATCCGTGATTTCCCATGGAAATGGGACCCGTCGCTAATCCACGCCCCCTTAATCCATGTTTGCGATCGCCTGACCCTTTCTCTATCCCCGTTTCACTTCCTCCTTATCCCCCCGTTCCCGATTCCCCTCTCCCATCACATCCGACCTTGCAACAACAGCTGCAACATAGGACAACAGGACTGGAGCCCTAGACCCACTTTTCTGCCATTCTTGAGCCCGATCGATCTGTGAGGGTCCCGGGGCCCGAAATCGGGCGAAATCAACCGTTCCGAAAAGATAGCATCGCCCGGATAGGGTCCCTATCCGGGGTCCGTCTTGTCACGCTTGTGGAGGCGGAGCCAGCCGTGGCGTCGAGAAGCCTCCAGGAGGCCCAAACGCGGAGAAAACGCCAAGACCCGCCGTTGTCTCGGCTGGCCCTCCTCCGGCTTTCCCGCTTTTCCTGTCGCCCTCTCGTCCGACTCCGGAGGATCCCCCCATCTTCGGTGGCAGCCCATGGGAGCCTCCCATGCCATCTTGCTGCGTCTTGCGAATCGAAGCTCGCCGACGCTGATCGACGGCAGTCGGAGCAAAACATGTGCGCGCCAACGTTGTCGCATCGACCACCTGACGCTCACGCACGCCAATGCACTCGAAAGACGGACCTTGGAGGACAGAATTAGGGCTCCTATGAACTGCCACCGAACCGGGGAGATGTCAAGGTGGGGTTGGGGCAGATGCGGGGTCAGAGGAAGATCGATCCGAACGGCCCCTGGAAGAAGAAGAAGAACATGCGGGCATCCAGCTGGACTCGTTCCCCAAGCCCACCTTGGGGTAACCCGAGCTCGGGTGTTGTTCTCTCGCCTTGGCCGAAGATAGTGTGCTCAGCCCTGGGATGTACGATGGGCGGGCGTCCATCCTCGATGGTGGTGCGTCCGAATAGCCCCTTCTGGGGGTAGTACCCCCAGAGCTTCCCCCCTTGTCTGAGCGGCCAGTTTTTCTGGCAGGACTCGGGGATGGGGGGAATGGCATCGCCTGCGATGAATCCCACCAGCCCTTCTGGCCGAGGTGGTCCAACGAGCTCTGCCTTTCCTGTTCCAAGCACTCTCCTCCCGTCAGAGAGGGGTACCCTCCCCCTCCCCCTCCCCCTCCCTGAGGTTCCTCGGGAGGGGGACGGAGGGGTTAGCGCGTCCAAGATGGCACAAGATCTCTGCGGCGAGCCAGGGGGGAAGTGAGAAGAGGCGGCCCTTCTCAGAAGGCTCGGAAGTATCCGGCCTTCTGAGAAGCTCCCCGCGCCTTCCCTGAAGACACGGGGCACTTCTCAGGAGGCGCGAGGGCTTCTCAGAAATCCCGCCGCCTTCTGAGAGGGCCTTCTCCCTCTCAGTTCCCCCCTCGCCCGCCGCCGAAGACTGCTACCGAACCCGCTCCTGGCGGGACTCCGCATGAGCCGGGGCGCACGGCGGGTGCCACGATCCGCGGCAACTGCACCACTCCGCGCCGGCCGCGGCGGGCCCCGCCCGCGGCGGGCGTCCCAGCTGGGCGCCGGGCTCCTCGCCCTCCGAGATCACCTGGTGAGGGCGCTTATCTGGGCACATCTGTTGTTTTGTTCTCATCCATCCTGTGGTGTTGGGTCCTCGTTTTTAAAAAGGGACAGCGCCCCGCGTCTTCCTCATCCTCCTGCTGCGTTTCCTTCTCCTCCTCTTCCCCATCCTCTTCCTCCTCCTCCTCCTCCTCCTCCTCCTCGCCCTCCTGCCCCTCCTCCTCCCCCGTCTCCTCTTCCTCCTTCTCCTCCTCCTCCTCGTGCTCCTCCTCCTCATCCTCCTCCTCCTCCTCCTCCTCCTGCCCCTCCTCCTCCTCCTCCTCCTCCTCCTCCTCCTCCTCGTCCTCCTCCTACTCCTCCTCCCTCCTCCCCTGCGTGCCCCTGCCCTCCGCATGTCTGAGTACATGTTCTCTTGTTTCGGACGGGGAGGCGGGAGCGCGACCGCCGGACCTCGAAGCCTCGGTGACGACCGCAGCTCGAGCCAGCGGAACCGCAGGCAGATGCAGATGGGGAACGCCACGCAGGCCGACAATAGGCAAGCACGCACGCTTGTCTTTGTAATGCGCAACAAAAGCCTGCACAATGTCGTCGCAATCGCCGCCCCGTTGCCGTCTCGTCGCCGCCCGTCGTCTGGGCCGTGTGGTCGGCCTGGCGGCCATGTGGCCGCCGTCGCCGCCCCGTCGCTGCCTCGTCGCCATCCGTTGTTTGGGCCGTGTGGTCGGTCTGGCGACTTTGTTGTCTCCGTCGCCGCCCAATGGCCGCCTCGTCGCCGCTGTTGGATTGCACCGGATAGATGGCAGGAGAAGTGCTCACGCCTGCGGCGCGCTTCTTGATCGCTCGCGGCATAGATTGCATCACGTGTAGTGCGCAACGCAAAGTGCACCACATAGATGACACGGCACATATTGCCCACCCGCCTACTTGTTCAACATCTGTCATTGCATATTTTGCATGACCACAGATGTTGCACAGCATATGTTGCACAACATAAACTGCGAAACGTACATGCCATCGCATATACTGCTCCCCTTTGCTCCACATTTAGCGGCCCACATACAGTGCAGCACATGAATCGAACAGGTTGTGTTTCGCGACCGCGGCACGCTGTTTGATCGATCACATGCATAGCGTGCATCAGATATGCTGCACATGCTAGACTGCAGCGCATCTGTTGCACAACGTATAGTGGGCAACATACTTTGAACCGCATGTATTGCACTACTTATGCTGCAACGCATAAGTAAAAGCA